TGTGTGTGTGTGTGTGTGTGTGTGTGTGTGTGTTTTCAAATGTAAAATTTCTCTTCATTACCAACCATTAGATTCTAAAGGAAATAATGAGCTTGGGCAGTTGGGAAGAAAAGTGGAAGGAGGAGATGGGGTTGAGTCTGAAAAATATACTGAAGGTAAATTCAAGAGGACCTGACTTTTGGTTGAATATTAGGCAGGAAGAAATTTAAATTTAGCAGTGTTTTTGCCCTTGATGTTTGGCACAGTATGTTAGGAGTTACAGAGAGCACAAGAGGAGGAACGGGTTGGGTGGGTCGGGTGGGTAGAAGGGAAAATAATGAAGTACTTCATTCTAGACAGTGAATGTGGGGATCGCTCAGAGGCAACTGGGGCACAACACAAATGGCCCATATGGCTACTGTTATGTTCTGGGCGTGATGCATGAGACTGATGCCTAAATTTACAGAGCCGTTACACCTATCCTTGCACGTAGGAAGTCCTTAGTAGTTAATACATTTGTCAGATGAAGGCGTGAATTAATTGAAGTTATCTAGCCTGCTGTGGTGGCGCTTACCTGTAACCCTAGCACTTGAGGCTAAGGCAGTAGGATTACTGTTGGAGGCCAGCCTGGGCTACAAAGTGAGGTGAATTCCAGCCTGCACTGCGGAGTGAAACCCTGCCTCAAAAAGACAAAACAAACAGGTTATCTGTAGAACTTTAGTCAGTTGTACTATTGCATTTTGAGCCAGTTAATTCTTTGTTGTGGGAACTGTCCTTTGGCATTGTAGATGTTTGAGTAACACTCTCCACAGTACCCTGCACTGTGACGCCCACAGATGTCCCCAGACATTGTAGAATCACCTTCACGGGAGAATTATTGGTATAGAGGAAGTCTAGAGTAGATGTATTCTCTGCTAGAGATCTGGAATGAGAAAAGCAGATAGAGGATTTGGACTATGAGATCCCCCAGTTTGTAAAACTTTTGTTTGTATTAGTACATGTTTTCAGTAAATAATGTTTATCTTGTGTGTCCCCAAATTGGAAGACAGAAGAAAAAACTGACCAAGCAGGACCAAGGCAAATCTGAGAAGTGGGTGGTAGGGAAGCACAGGCAAGCGCGCTCTCAGACAAGGAGCTCTTTAAAAGTGTCACTTTGGGCTGGATTTGGAGGTAGGTCTTTGGCCCCAGAGATTGTGTTCATCAGCCCCAGCTACTGTGTCACTCACGGCAGGAAGGCCAGAGTACTCTGAGGCAAAGTTTTTTTTTGTGATGCTAGGACCATTCCTTAGTTCTAGAAGAATCAGATTCCCTTACATTTTGCTGCTGTTGTAGGAAGATCTTGCTTGCTTATTTTGTTAGACAGAGTCTCACTATGTAGTGCAGGCTGGCCTTGAACTCATAAAGTAGCCCCTGCTGGCCTCAAACTTCCAGCAATCCTGGTGCCTCAGCCTCTCAAGTACTGGAGCCACCACCCCCAGCTGAAAGATTTCTTTCAAATGCAGTTATTGGTAGTTTTTTGTTTTTCTTTTTTTAAAAAAGGATCTTGCTATGTAGTTCAGGCTGGTCTTGAATTCACTGTGGAGTCTCGACTGGCTTTGAACTTGAAGCAGTCTTGCTGCTGTAATCTCTGAAGTGCTGGGATTACAGTGTGGGCTATTACACCAGCTTAAATTCATTTTCTTGGTTGTCCTTTTCTGTTTTTTGAAATGTGTTTATTCTTCTCTGGATTTTACACACTTTTTTTTTTTTTTTTTGGTCTTGCAATGCAGACCAGGCTGGCCTTCAACTCACTTTATAGCCCAGGGTGGCCTCCTCAGCCTCCCAAGTGCTGAGATTACAGGCATGCGTCACCACACTGGGCTCAAACACCCTTTACTTATAGAAGTAGAAATACTGATCTATTTTGAAGAAGAGCATACAGCACCTTCTTTCAGCTTAGAAAGTGAAGCCTGGGGCTGGTGAGATGGCTCAGTGGTCTAAAGCACCTACTTAGAACAAGCTTAGTAAAGCACGGGACCGCGGTTCAATCCCCCAGCCCCACATGCCAGCCAGCCCCGCCCCCTGGTGGGCTGAGCTGGCCCCCCCCACA